CCCAGTGATACCTACAACAATCAAGGCTTAACTACAACAAGATTGTGCACACAGCCCACAAAGGGGTGCACGAAGAGTGTCCACCTCAGGTAATTGGGGAGGCTGAGCCACTGGGCCTTATAGGACACCTAGCACAGAAAGCCACTCTATCAACACAGCGAAGCATAAAAAATGCGGAGACAAAGAAACAGATCACAAATTACAGAAATGGAGGAAAGCAAACTACTGGATATAGAGTTCAAAACCACACTTTAAGGTTTTTCAAGAATTTTCTAGAAACCGCCAATAAATTTAGTGAGACCCTCAAGGTTATGAAAAAGGACCAACTAGAAATTAAGCATACACTGACTGAAATAAAGAATATTATACAGAGTTCCAACAGCAGACCAGAGGATCTCAAGAATCAAGTCAAAGATTTGAAATACGAAGAAGCAAATAACACCCAACCAGAAAAGCAAAATGAAAAAAGAATCCAAAAATAGGAAGATAGTGTAAGGAGCCTCTGGGACAGCTTCAAGCGTACCAACATCCAAATTATAGGGGTTCCAGAAGAAGAGAGAGAGCAAGATATTGAAAATCTATTTGAAGAAATAATGACAGAAAACTTCCCCTAACTGGTGAAAGAAATAGACTTACAAGTCCAGAAAGTGCAGAGAACCCCAAACAAAAGGAATCCAAAGAGGACCACACCAAGACACATCATAATTAAAATGCCAAGAGCAAAAGACAAAGAGAGAATCTTAAAAGCAGCAAGAGAAAGACAGTCAGTTACCTACAAGGGAGTACCCATACGACTGTCAGCTGATTTCTCAACAGAAACTTTGCAGGCCAGAAGGGAGTGGCAAGAAATATTCAAAGTGATGAATAGCAAGAACCTACAACCAAGATTACTTTACCCAGCAAAGCTATCATTCAGAATTGAAGGTCAGATAAAGAGCTTCACAGATAAGAAAAAGGTAAAGGAGTTCATCACCACTAAACCAGTATTATATGAAATGCTGAAAGGTATCCTTTAAGAAGAGGAAGAAGAAGAAAAAGGTAAAGATACAAATTATGAACAACAAATACACATCTATCAACAAGTGAATCTAAAAATCAAGTGAATAAATAATCTGATGAACAGAATAAACTGGTGAATATAACAGAATCAGGGGCATAGAAAGGGAGTGAACTGACTATTCTTGGGGGAGGGGAAGGGATGTGGGGGGTGCAGGAAGAGACTGGACAAAAATCATACACCTATGGATGAGGACAGTGGAGGGGGGGTAAGGGCAGAGGGTGGGGTGGGAACCGGATGTAGGGGAGCTATGGGGGGAAAAAAGAGGAACAACTGTAATAATCTGAACAATAAAGATTTAATTAAAAAAAAAAAGACGCTTGCCTGGTGGAACTGTTCCTCTGCAACAGTGGTTCTCAACCTGTGGGTCGGAACACCTTTGGCGGTCGAACGACCCTTTCATAGGGGTCGCCTAAGACCATCCTGCATATCATATATTTACATTACGATTCATAACAGTAGCAACATTACAGTTATGAAGTAGCAACGAAAATAATTTTATGGTTGGGTCACAACATGACGAACTGTATTTAAAGGGCCAGAAGGTTGAGAACCACTGCTCTACAAGCCTGCTAACTTTGCCATCATTTTTCCTTTCATCATATTTCTAATGAATTTTCCTTGATCATTTTTGTTCAAAATCTCTTCCTCCTCAGGAGTCAGCTCGGCCCCCTTCTTGCGGCCCAGGGGCAGTGGATAATGGGTATGGGGTGCTGTCAGTGAGCACGATGCAGTTCTTTACTAGGATATTGGTGTGGACCAGTTCGTAGTTGGATGCATGGTAGATAGCATCCATAATCCTTGTTTTGCGTGAACAACACTCTGAGCCGCAGGAGAAGTTGTCCACATCCAGCCTCAAGGCTCAGTACTTCTTGTTGCCTCGCCGCGTGTGGACTGAGTGTGTGCTGTGCAGGCCAATTTTAGTGCTGGCAGCAGGTCATAGTTTCACTTCCTGTGGTAGGGATTTCTCTTGCCCCAGTTCTTGCTGTTGTTCGTGCCAGTTGTCCCAAGAGATGACCATGGCTTGGTGTCAGCTGGAGTGATCCCACATTTCTTATTTCCAGGCTAACCATCTGCTATTCTACTTAAAATCTCTTTCCTAGCCCTAGCTGGTTTGGCTCAGTGGATAGAGCAATGGCCTACAGACTGAAGAGTCCCAGGTTCAATTCCAGTCAAGGGCATATACCTGGGTTGTGGGCTCAATTCCCTGTAGGGAGCATGCAGGAGGCAGTTGATCGATGATTCTCTCTTATCATTGATGTTCCTCTCTCTCTCTCTCTCTCTTTCCCCCCTCTCCCTTCCTCTCTGAAATCAAGAAAAATATATATTAAAAAAATCCCTTTCCTAAATAATTTAAATGTATTTTTTAAAAAAGGAAATTGCCGCCGAAACCGGTTTGGCTCAGTGGATAGAGCGTCGGCTTGCAGACTGAAAGGTCCCAGGTTCGATTCCGGTCAAGGGCATGTACCTGGGTTGCGGGCACATCCCCAGTAGGAGATGTGCAGGAGGCAGCTGATCAATGTTTCTCTCTCATCGATGTTTCTAACTCTCTATCTCTCTCCCTTCCTCTCTGTAAAAAATCAATAAAATATATTTAAAAAAAAAAAAAGGAAATTGCCTTTTTTAGTATGACAAAAGGTATTAAGAAATCATTTCTGACCCCTACAATTCAGGCATAATGCCACTGCTAACATTTTTAGCATATAATATATTTTTGAAAAGGAAAGTTGTATCATTTTATTAAGGTATAATGTATTGGTTTTTACATATGGGATTAGGAGCTGTTTGTAAATCACTATCTTTAGTTAGCAGCACATGGACTCTAAGGAAAATGAAGCCAAAGAGCAGACTAAAAAGAAAATATAGGTAACAATGACATTTTTATTAGATTCCATAAATACAATTGGCAATACATACTTACCATATAATAGAATAACACCTACTATAGTCATCAAATTTGAATTTGCCCCCACTGGATAAAGGCTTTTAATAACTTTTTAAAAAATTTTTTAATTTTTTTTATTTCTTAAAGTATTACAAAGGGTATTACACATGTCTCCTTTTTCCCCCCTCTTGACATTCCCCTGGCCTCCCCCACCCCCCAGTGTCTTGTGTCCATTGGTTATTCTCATATGCATGCATACAAGTCCTTTGGTTGATGTCCTACACCTCCCCCCAACCCTCCCCAGGGTTCCCACTGTAGTTTGACAGTCTGCTCAATGCTGCTCTGCCTCTGTATCCATTTTTGTTCATCAGTCTATAATGGTCCTTATTATCCATAAATGAGTGAGTTCATGTGGTATTTTTCTCAGCCTCACAGGGGCCGTCTCAGCCTCACTGGGGCCATCTCAGCCTCATGGGGGCCGTGCCAGCCTCTCTGGGGCCAGCCCAGCCTCACGGGGGCTGTCTCAGCCTCATGGGGGCCGCCTCAGCCCTACGGGGGCCGCCTCAGCCTCACGGGGGCTGTCTCGGCCTCATGGGGGCTCTCTCGGCCTCACGGGCATTGTCTTGGCTTCACAGGGGCTGTCTCAGCAACATGAAGTTTAGCATTCTGTCATTTGTTGGGTAGCTCCTTGCTGGACAAAATCTTCAGGTATTCCTGGTGGCTGAATATCTGGTATGCTTGCTTGGATTTAGTTTTCTACCAAGTGCACAGACTGCCTGTCTGCCGTCTCCCAGCGTCCCATGTGAGACTGGATCTGGTGGACCTGCCTGTGCGTTTGCTGGTACAGCGGTTCCATGTCGCCGGCCCAGCTGGGTCTGGCTCCAGCTTCCTCCAAACCTGATTCTTCTTCTTGAGTGTGTCCCTTATGTATGCAAGGAGTTGAAATCTGCATTCTGCTGGGCTGGGCTGCAAAAGTGCCCGGTGGTTCCCTTTGTGCCACTGGCACAGCTTGGGTGGGGATGTAAATTGAGTAGGGCAGGTCCCTGGGAATCACCAGAGCAGAGCAAGGGGCAATGGCATCTCTGCGACTCCTCGCCTCTCTGCGACTTCACGTCTCACGTCCCTGAGTGCCGGCGAGCAGCTCTGCAAGACAGCCACTCTCGCTCTCCGACCCATTGCAAGGCCGTCCCGCCTCTCCCCGTAGGGGTCTGGGACCTCAGAATCCTGCCCCAAACAAGCTCAGTGGACTGGAGAGTCCGCAGCCCCTTTCGATTGAAAAAAACTGCGCATCCAGTTGCAGCCTGCCTGGCGTGCGACTCCGTACCTCCGTTCTTGGAGCCTCTGCACAACCTACTCAGTCTCAATGCTCTTCTTTCTTTCCTTCCAGTTGTAGAGCTTCCACTGGGCCAGCTTTCCCATGGTTCTGAATGATAGCTGTTTGTCTTATAGTTGGTAGTCTTGATGATGTTGTGGGAGGCAGCACGCACAGGTCTGTACCTTACGCCGCCATCTTGGTTCTCTCCTTAATAGCATTTTCTTTTCTCCAGCTTGTTTTCACACAGACTGTGACGTCCAAGATATAAGGGCTCCAGGTGGAGGACAAGCTTCTTGGACTTCTCCCTTCGCATCTGGGTCTAATAACTTTTTATGTAAAGCTTAACATTAAAATTATGCTCACTCCCCCTACCCACCCCAATTCAACATGTATATATCATTTATTTTCATGTATGCTGATTCTAGAGCATTACAATCTCTTTATGGTATTATAAGAGAGTATCCTTGTCCTGTAAGCTTAAATTTCACAAATTGTATACTATCATGGTATAATACCATCATTCAAATAGTTTCCCAAGGTGAATATATTCACATAATAGTAACATTAAAATTTGTGTTTTTTAAACATTATTTTAATAAGCCAAACCACGGAAAAAACAAACAGGTTATAGTTTTAAATGTGTTTATGAAGACTGCCGCTGTGCTCAAAGCATGCAGATATGCATGACCACCTAGATGAACCTGGATATTGAACTCCTTCAGTAGATCCAATGATGCCCTGTTTCACTCATCCCAGGTGCCTCCATATTTGTTTACTTTCACTTTGTTGGGGGGACATTCTTTCCTGCATAGGCCTGACTTCATATGACTCTCTGTCCTTACTCCTTAGTTTTTCTTTTCTTTTTAAAATATATTTCTTTATTGATTTCAGAGAGGAAGGGAGAAGAAGAAATAGAAACATCAATGATGAGAGAGAATCATTGATCGGCTGCCTCCTGCACACCCCCCACTGGGGATGGAGCCCGCAACCCTGGCATGTGCCCTTGGCCATAATTGAACCTGGACCCTTCAGTCCGCAGGCCAACGCTCCATCTACTGAGCCAAACTGGCTAGGACTCTTAGTTTTTCATGTGTAATCTTCTTTCTTTTAGGACTTTCTTTAAAGTTGGGATCAGGTCCTTGGGCAATATGATCAGTAATACCAGTGGGAGTAGATTCATTCATAGAAGTACTAAATGGGCCCTAACCGGTTTGGCTCAGTGGATGGAGCGTCGGCCTGCGGACTGAAGGGTTCCCGGGTTCGATTCCGGTCAAGGGCATGTACCTTGGTTGCGGGCACATTCCCAGTGGGAGATGTGCAGGAGGCAGCTGATCGATGTTTCTCTCGCATCGATGTTTCTAACTCTCTATCCCTCTCCCTTTCTCTCTGTAAAAAATCAATAAAATATATTTTTTTTTAAAAAAAGAAGTACTAAATGGAATTGGTTCATAAAGAGAAAACATCTAGTTTATTATTTTTATTTTCTACTCCTCACCCCAAGGATGTTTTTTTAATTAATTTTTTTTTATTTTAGAGAGAGAAATATCAATCGGTTTCCTCTTGTACATGCCCAGGCTGGGGATTGAACCCACAACCTAGGTATGTGCCCTGACTGAGAATCAAACCTGCAATCTTTTGGTGTACAGGACAGCACCCCAACCAACTAAGCCACTTGGCCAGGGTGAGGAATCATCTCTTTTGCCATGTTGTCTTCTGCTGAGGATGTCACAAAAGATGAATGATCACTCACATTTGAGTCATATTTTGACTTTTGAGAATAGTGCCCAGGTGGTAAAGATCATCATACCTGTCTTGATCATAAAACTTCTCCAAGAGGGGAAGTCTCAAGAGTCTTGAACTTCTCTTGGCAAGTTTTCACATTAAAAAGCTTTCTAGCCCTAACCGGTTTGCTCAGCGGATAAAGCGTTAGCCTACGGACTCAAGGGTCCCAGGTTTGATTCCGGTCAAGGGCATGTACCTTGGTTGCGGGCACATCCCCAGTAGGGAGTGTGCAGGAGGCAGCTGATCGGTGTTTCTCTCTCATCGATGTTTCTAACTCTCTATCCCTCTCCCTTCCTCTCTGTAAAAAAATCAATAAAATATATATTTTTTAAAAAAAGCTTTTCAGCAAAGTATCCCATAATACAAACAAATATGAGTTTAGGGATGGAACCATATTTGGGATGACTTGAAAGGATTCCTTTACTAATTAATAATTGAGTAATCAACATACTTGTTGCAGCCAAAGGCACAGATCTGAACCAGAAGCTTTCATCATTGCATTCTGCAAAGCCTCTTCTTTCTTCCTCTGTTGGGATGTAATCAGCCCCTATGTGGGGAATTGGTCTTGTAACTTTAGCATTTGGCTCTTGAAAATCAGCCCTGCGATTCATCTTTCATGATGAGGCTAGCAATTGGGACCCTTCCATAATATATATATTCAATAGACCATCACTGAGGGTCTATGACATATAAATACCTCTGAGGTAGGAAATGGCCAAATTTGAATCTTTCAAATTAAAAAGCAATTTATGGCCCTGGCCAGGTAGCTCAGTTGGTTAGAGCATAGTCCCAATATGCCAACATTGTGGGTTTGATCCTCAGTTAGGGCACATACAAGAATTGATTAATGAATGCATATATAAGTAGAAGAACAAACTGATGTTTCTCTCTCTCTCTCTCTCTCTCTCTCTCTCTCTCTCTCTCTCTTTCTAAAATCAATCAAGCAATAAAATTTTACAAAAGCAATTTTAAGAACTTTACCACATATGCCTAAAAACAGTTTATGTAATCTGAGGAACACAAACTATGAGCTAATTCTAGACAATAAAAGCAAGACCTAGCTTAGGTGACAGACCACATTGAACCCAACTTTGAATAAGAAGAGAACTTTATTCCAGGTAATGATTTCTAACCTTCATACTATGGGGTGGCAATTTTATAATTCTATCTAAATACTGATTCTAAAACAGGGTTCACATTAAAAAATGAAATTATATCATGCCTCAAGAATGTTAAATAAACCATGCCTCAAGAATATTAAATAAGTCATTATTAATTTGTTAATAGCTAATTATCAAATTAATTCCTACTGTAAATATTTATTAAGGGCCTTCTAGTGCCAGGCACTAGGCAGAGGACAGATGTTATGGTAAGTGAGTCATGGTCTCTATAATTTTGGAGTTTATAGTCTAATGGCAGATACAGAGAAGTAAGTCAGCAATTCCAGTATGGTGTGAATAAGTGGTCAGGGATGATGAAATACTGAATGTTCTGGAAGTATAAAGAAATACCCAACCCAAACACAGAGATAAAGTTCCAGAGAAGCTTTCCTAAAGATATTGACAATTAAGTGGAGATGTAATAACAAAAAGAAGGTTGGGGGGTAACAGGAGAAGGTGGGGGACTGAGTGTTCTGTAGAGAGGGAGTGGCAGAGGCTTGGAGGTCTGTGGGAAAATTGGTCAGCATGGCCAGACTGTTGTGTACACACTGGAAGTGGCAAGATTAGAGAGGTAAGCTAGGTCAGAGATTCCATGAAGGTGTTTGTAATCCATGTTAGGTTCTCTGGACTTCATCTAGAGGACTACTAAAGATTTTAAAAATATTTATTACAAATATTCCAGGCAACAGAAAGCATAGTAATATAAAAAACAGTTACATAGCCCTGGCCAGTATAGCTCATTGGTTGGAGTGCTGGCCCATGCACTAAAGGGTGTTAGGTTCAATTCTCAGTCAAGGGTATATACCTGGATTGCAGGTTTGATCCCCAGTGTCAGTCGGGATGTTTGCGGGAGGCAGCCAATTGGTGTATCTCTCTCACATCAATGTTTCTCTCTCTCTCCCTTCTTCCCTCTCTTTCACTCTCTCTAAAAATCAATGAAAAAGCCCAGCTGGTGTTACTCAGTGGTTAAGCATCAACCCATGAACTAGGAGGTCACAGTTTGATTCCCAGTCAGGGCACAGGCCCAGGTTGCAGGCTCCATCTCCAATAGGGCATGTGTAGGAGGCAGCTGATCAATGATTCTCTCTCATCATTGATGTTTTTATCCCTCTCTCCCTCTCCTTTCCTCTCTCTGAAATCAATAAAAATATATATTTTAAAAAGCACTTAAAAATTTTTAAAACAAATAAAAATTGATGAAAAAAATATCCTCGAGTGAGGACTAACAACAAAATGAAACGTGCATATGGAATACCAAGCATAAGAAATTAAACACACTTTTTTAAAATAAAGAAAAGAGAATCAACATGATGGTGTAAGTAAATGCCGGTACTCGCTGTCTCCCCAAAACCACATCAAAATTACAACTAAAATACAGTACAACCATCATTCAGAACCACCTGAAAACTGGCTGAATGGAAATCCTACAATTAGAGAAGAAAGTACATTGAGACTGGTAGGAGATGTGGAGGTGCTGAAGGACTGGTCTGACACCCATGTGTGGCGTGTTTTTTTCAATAGGGAGGGATATCTCCACTGCAGAGGAATCCAGTGAGAAGCAAGGGGTCTCAGCCCCACACCGGACTCTCAGCCCAGGGTTCTAGAGCTGGGAAGAAAAGTCCCCAAAACTTTGGGCAGTAAAAAACAGTGGGGATTGTGGTTGAGTGGCACAGAAGCTGCTGGAGACCCAGGCAGTTCCTCTTAAAGGACTGGTGCACCAACTTACACGTTGAGCTCCAGTGCCGGGCAGTGGCTTTAGAGAATCTAGGTACATACAGCAAGGAACTGGATTGTTTGGCATTGGGGCAGACACTCATGGGCAGCTTTCTCCCAGACAAGGGTGCTCACAGGGGTCATTATTCCTGCCTCCCCCATTGCAGAGCTGACTGGCAGCTATATGTCAGTTTCCATCAGTGTGGCCCACACTGTTTGCTCCACCCTGGTGGTTCCCTGAGACCCCAACCCATCCAATTTACAAGCTGTTTGCAGTGTCTTTTCCATTTGAATGGCCTGCTCTGTCTCAGACTTCACACTTTGCTAAAATCTTTCAAACAAGCAGCAGCTATAGTCAGCATGCCCAAAACCTATCAATAAGAGGCCCCAAACCTAGCACTAACACCAGCCTGCCTTGCTTCACAGCTATGCCTCTCCTGGGTACTTTCCTTTTTTTTCACCTGGGGACTTTCAAGCCCAATACAAGTAGCAGCCATATGCAGATCTCTCTGTGGTTCCTGCCGGGTGGCCCTAGGCAGTGGATGACTTTGCATTTCCCAGGAGGCCTCAGAGCCAAATGTGGACCCAGTGGACAGCTTCACACCATAACAGATTACAACTCTACACATCCACAAGCATCACACTGAAGGGGCAGACTCAGTGAGCACCAAAGCCCCACTGAAGCTAGTCCTACTTCATAGGGGTGTCTCCTAGACCAGGAGCTCTTCCACTATAGTTGCAGATGACCCTCATAGCCAATTGGCCTGTAGGTCAATTGTTCCCAGTGATAGCAACAGCAATCAAAGCTCAACTACAACAAGACAGTGCACATGGCCCACAGAGAAGTGCACGTAGAGGGCCTAGCTCAGTTGACTGGGAAGGCTGAGCCACTGGGCCCTATAGGACACTTACTACATAAAGTCACTCTACCAATGCCAGGAGACATAGCAGTTCTACCTAATACATAGACACAAACACAGGGAAGCAGCCAAAATGTGGAGACAAAGAAATATATCACAAATAAGAAATGGAAGCAAGAAAACTTTTGGATACAGAGTTCAAATACATGGTTATAAGGTTACTCAAGGATCTTAATGAGAGCTTCAAGGGACTTAGCTTCAAAGACTTGAAAAAGGACCAATCAGAAATTAAGCATACACTAACTGAAATAAATAATAACTTACAGGAATTCAACAGTAGAGGATTCTAAGAATCAAATCAATGATTTGGAATATGAGCAAGCAAAAAACACCCAATCAAAAGAGCAAAAAGAAAAAAAGAATCCAAAAATATGAAAATAGTATAAGGAGACTCTGGGACAACTCCAAGCATACCATCATTCACATTATGGGGGTGCCAGAAGGAGACGAGAGAGAGCAAGATATTGAAAACCTATTTGAATAAATTATGATAGAAAACTTCTCTTACTTGGTGAAAAAAAATAGATTTACAAGTCCAGGAAGCACAGAGAGTCCCAAACAAGAGGAACTCAAAGAGGTCCATACCAATATACATCATAATTAAAATGCCAAGGGTTAAATAAAAAGAGAGAGTTTTAAAAGCAGCAAGAGAAAAGCAGTTAGTTACCTACAAAGGAGTGCCCGTATGACTGTCAGCTTATTTCTTAACAGAAACTTTGCAGGCTAGAGGGAGTGGCAAGAAATATTCAAAGTGATGAATAGCAAGGACCTACAACCAAGATTACTCTAGCCAGCAAAACTATCATTTAGTATTGAAAGTCAAATAAAGAGCTTCACAGACAAGAAAAAGCTAAAAGAGTTCCTCATCACCAAAACAGTATTACATGAAATGTTGAAGGATATTGTTTAAGAGGAAGAGGAAGAGGAGGAGGAGGAGGAAGAGAAGGAGAAGAAGAGAAGAAGAAAAAATATGAACAATAACATGGCAATCCTATATAATAAAACCCTAATATGCAAATCAACCAAATGGTGGAATGACTGGTCGCTATGACACGCACTGACCACCAGAGGGTAGACACTCAACACAGGAGCTACCCCCTGGTGGTCAGTGCGCTCCCATAGGCGGAGTGCCACTCAGCCAGAAGCCGGACTCATGGCTGGCAAGTGCAGCAGCGATGGTGCGAGCCTCTCCCGCCTCCAGGGCAGCACTAAGGACCCCTCAGCAGACATCCCCCAAGAGGTCCTGGACTGCAAGAGGGTGCAGGCTGGGCTGAGGGACCCCTCCCCACACTCCCCATCCCCCGTGCACAAATGTCGTGCACTGGGCCTTTAGTAAATACATACCTATCAACAATTGAATCTAAAAACAAAATAAATAAACAAGAAATCTAATGAACAAAATAAACTAATCAGTAAAATAGAATCAGTGGCATGGAAACAGGGATCAGACTGATGAATCTCAGAGGGAAAGTGGGCGGGGGGCAAGAAGAGATTTAACCAAATATCTTTTTTTTTTTTTTTTTTTTAACCAAAGATCTTATATACATACTGGAGGCCCGGTGCACAAAAATTTTTGCACTCGGGGGGCAAGGGGGGGTCCCTCAGCCTGGCCTATGCCCTCTTGCAGTCTGGGACCCCTCAGGAGATAACGCCCTGCTGGCTTAGGCCTGCTCCCGGGTGGCAGAGGGCAGGCCTAATCCCTAGGTGCAGCCCCTGGTCAGGCTCAGAGCAGGGCCAATCGGGGAGTTGGGGCGCCGCCCCCTGTCATGCACAGAGCAGGGCGGATTGGGAGGTTGCGATGCCACCCTCAGTCACACT